TAGAATGTAACTGAAAAATATATTAATTAATGGAAAATAATTTATTCAATTATTACATGAAACTTACTGCTTCAGCAATGTCAATCCAATCAATTGCTGCTGCTAAGGCATCATTCTTAGATGGAAGTTTATCATAGTTCCAATAAGTAAAGTGTGAAAATGTTCCTATAGAATATAAATTCCTTTCTACATTTTCCACTTCTGGTTTTTTATGTTCACGAAACGTGATACCTCTGTATCCATCAGGTATTGTTACCTTTTTTCCATGAAGAGGATATCCACGATATGAAGAATTATAATCTATGTATAAATAAAGTAATCATTTTAACCTAAAATTAATTAAACTAACTTTATGTGTTTTTGATATAAATAATTCGACCAATACACAAACATTAAATTATATTAAATGACTCCAAATTTACATAATTTAAAACAATTTCACTTACAAAAATGTCACTTTCTACATGCAAGTACTAAATCATAAAGATAAATTTAAATGTAACAAACTTACGTTCATCGTCGATTTTACGTATATATGGTTTAAAATAGGAGGAAACGTTTGCAGATTCATCGCCATGAATTTTGCATGGCATTAAATGCAATATATTTTCTTTCGTCTCAGATAAATCCTGCTTCACGTGTAAGCGTATAGCCATAGTTAAACAAAAATGGCGATGTACTCTTTTGGCGGGAATACATCCATTACCATAAATATTATTTTCATATCAATTATAACAAAAACGTAATTTAAAAATTATTTAGACGAATCACAAATTCATCAATAATGTACACGTCATAGTAAAGAATAGATTTCTATAAAACAGTAACATTTGAACAAAATTTATATTCAGCGAATCAAGTATAATATAAATAGGGTATATATACGTATGTGTGTATACGTGTATTTTTGTATTTATAATATTCACAATTATCTAACGAATACGAAGTAATAAATGTTGTATCTTTTGAACATCACTTTATTTTTCCTATATGGATCATAAGTAAATACAAAATCATTTTAACTACAGTTTTGATAACTGTTATGAATAATATACATTGGATTAAGAGTAAGAGATAAATCCTGATTCAAAGCAACGTTAATGTCGTCGAATTGCGGAATGCGTGCGTACGCTCAGTAATTCACCGGAGATGTGACGAGCCATCTTCAGTGGGGATGATCCCCACCCCCGCCAGAATGTAGGGAGTAGGGGAGAAAATTTACCACCGTGGTGCGACGCGCACACGTAGCGTCAGTCGCAGTCGATTGTTCGATTCGATTCGATCTTGCGCGTTTTGATTTTTTCACTGGGAGGACTCTCGTGCGAGGACGCGTTTTTCCGCGAGCGAGAAGTAGTGTTCGTGAATCTCGTTGCGAGGTGCACGTCGCGAAACAACACGATCGCGTGACAAGTTTTTCTTCCTCGAGTACAAGACAGACTCCTCCTATACGGTCGAAGATGAGCACGCCGGTGAAGAAAGTGCCCATCCACCTGCAGGTCAGTTTACCGATCTTTATTTTTATCTTCGCCGGCTCACTTCTACGAGAACCTCGCGTTCGTTACCGATCGAGCGTCACCGCGTAAATAAATATTGCGTAGAATAGATCGTTCGGGCGTGAAGGTGGAGCGAATCGGGTACAACCCGGCTTGTCTATTGTTACATGCAGCATCATTGAAACAAATCAATTACGCTAATGTCACTTGATATTTCCTTATGCACTTGAAAATGCACATAACAATACGAATTTAAGACAATTCTTTTTACTCACTTTAATAAAACTTTGAAATTTTTACAAGGAATGTTATTGGATCAATAATATCACGATGTCGCGATCGTGTAATCGCTACTTTCGCTTTTTTTATAATGAAGTGAATACATTACATGAGTGTTCGAGGATCAAGTGACCGGTAAATGAGATAACCAAACGGTTTGGACGTGTGACACGTTACATAAAGATGTAACCGGCGCGACGTAATCGTTTCTTCAAATAAGAAGAAAATTAATTGCGATAGAGAAAGTTGGGAAACGACCGGCAAGTAATCAGCCGTCTTGATAATTAATATCGTTAAAAAGTAAATAGACATTCTGTACGGAAACGATGTAATCGATGCCTGCGAACGTCCGTGAACAAACACCTCTGGGCTGCAAATATTGCGAATTAATTCCAAACTTTTCTGAACGATCTGGGTATCGTCCATATATTCCGCCTACAGCGGCGTTTCCACGGAAGCTGCATCGCTACATCGATTTTACTGCGATTCTGCATTTCACTTTATCCGATATCATATTACAACCAACCGTCGTTATAACAATCGGAATTCCTTTTTGCAAAATACTTTGAAATATAGATTCGGAACAATCGAATTTAATTTTTTAGCTGTTTTATTGTCAATAAACCGACAAATTTTAGGCTGCACAAAGTTGCGTATAGCGCGCAAAGTCAGTGAACTTCCGATCGATAGCCACGCCGGAAGGCTTATTCTTACAAGCCAAATTGCGATATGTAATTTATTTATTCGCAATACTTATGGATAGTATTATTGCAATGAATTATTAAAAAATATTACTAATATAAATTATTGATCGCGGATACTGTCAATAGTTGTGATTATTTAGATAGTTTCTTAACTGAATGACATTCTACCATAGATGTATTTGTTTTATTGAAAATACAACTGATTGAAGGAGAATATTGTTTGAGACTGATTTTCAGTAAAGACGTTTATTTTCCAAGAAATGTTCCCCCGGTCTTACAATGCTCGACCTACAGTAGTACAGTAAATATTTTACATATTGTTTAACATAAAAGTATGGAATAATAACTTCTGCAATCTATAAGATCTACGTTTTAATTACAATAAAAGAAAATGCAAAACTATGCGGGCGTGCATAAAACATAGAAGTAATATATTATCAGAAAATTAATTGTCATATCTCCTTCGTATAATAGTAACGTTTAAATTGATTTAAGATTCTATTTACTTTGATTAACGTGTCAACTTGAACTTTTTTCTGTTGACCCTACATTTTTTAGGGTTGAAATGCAATTATCGTACTTGTAACGTTTACATGGTAAAATAAATATAAACTATATTATAAAATTCTACCGATGACAGCTGTCATTATATTCGATGACAACTGAAATTGTATTATCGTCTGGTTGTTGGAAAATGAATGCGTAAAGTGGGTGTATCTGCGTCACTGTTAAAACCGAAAGTTTCGCCGTAGCATCGGCAGCAATTGCAAGGTTGCTGCCTTATTGATCCAAGCGTCTTGGCGCCCGGCACCGGTCTATCTCGTAAAAGGAGCCTAAATGCATATCTTGCTAGGACAGTGTATGTATAGACCGGCTGCTTATCCAACATTGTTAGCCTTATCCACTGTTTTCCTATAAATCTTTTCAAGGAAATGAGACAAAAAAATAGGAAATATTTTAATGAAATTTTAAATATAAAGAAATTGTTATAGTTAATCAACTAATTTTGGAACGTGTATGTGTATCTTCTTAAAGTTCTTACTGCTAAGACGTTCACGTGTAGTATCTTTTTGGATGATTTGCTCTGATGATTTGCTATCATTACCACTAAAAGTTCCTACAAACGATGAGACATGTCTCGAGGCGTGCTTCGCAAACAAAACGACAATTTTTCCAAAAAGATATTTCTAAATCTGAACAGCGAAGATAGTCAATTTATATAGAAAATGCATATGTACTCTACAGATCTTCGAAGTATATTATCTTAGGAACGAAGCTTCATACAAGGAATATGTTGTCTGTAACTTCAATAATCAGTTAACATCTATTTGCATGGTTAGTAAACCGCGGATATTCAAGCAAATTTGCGTTTTCTACTAAACAGAGTCTTGTTCTTTTGGTAAACTATTCCCAATGTAATAGGAATAAAATAAAACAACATTACATTCAATTTGATTATCATTTCCATTCTTTTAAAGTTCGAAGACTTTGCAAGCTGCACAGATTCTCAGCCGAATCAACAGTAATACTATGCTTTATTTAATTTCTTCTTCTTATGTTGGTCAGCAATGAACTGACTATCGATTATCATCGTCCCTTAAAAGAAAAATGAAAGTCACGAATTTAAGGGGATGAAAACGATTTTCATCGCCGGTCCCTCCCGAGGAAATGGGTACGGCACTGGGACGCGCTGCCTAGGCACGAGCAACCGCGGCGAATCAATAGTTCGTCGACACTACGCCGACCTAAAGTCGGAAAAACCACGGGGCTCAATTTTACGAGCACAGCACACTCGACCGACGGCCCGTCTGGATCAACGTGTCTCTCGACCAAGACCGCCGATCCACCGTTTCGCGTCGAATGTCTCCGTGGAAAGACTCGCGAGGCCCCCGAACACGTTTCCCACCGTTAAAAATAAACCGTGGATGTCCGCTGACATTTTTGTGTCCGGCTTTCATCCCGATTAGAACGGACTGGTACCTCGTTCAGAGTAGAAACAAGCCGTCTCTTGCGAAGAAACGCTGAATTTACGCGACTGCTCAGTCGTTTTCCATTGGCCAGCTAGGTTCACGCGTTTCTATCAGATTCAATGCTTTGAATTCCTTAAAATCAACTTCTTGCTTCACGATAGCTTCTTGAGACACTTAACAGTATACTTAACAGTGTATTTATTATTATTGTGTATTTAAATAAAGATGTTTTTTACCATTTTTCTTTTGCCTCAAGACACTTTAGCGACAAGTGGTAATGATTCAGTTTTTTCACTTCGATGATTATAAATTTCTATTTTGCTCGACTGAGACTTGTTTTTCAACGGCTACTAATGATGTCAATCTATCGAATAATTGCTATTTCTTTCTGGTATTCGTTACCCTTAATTACAAGCTTCGTTCGTGGACTTCGCTCGAATCTATTCACTCTTTGAGCAAGAGTTCGCCATTTCTACGGAGGATTCTGGCCAGGCGACAAGTGGTTACGACGCGCGTCGGCCAATTGTCATCTTTTTGCCTCACCCAGAACTTGACGGCGAATTTAGTCGAATGGAAGCCGGTCAGCCGAAATGTAGATTACCGACATTATACCACGACGTACATAAATAAACACGACTGGGAAGCCAGGTGTGACCCGCTGTTACCGTTTCCGCAGCGGTTCGCGCACACATGGAAATTAGATCACGCCGTCAGTGTTGGTGTCGGTCCCCCAGTTTTTTTTCTTTTTAATTCGATTTCATTCGATTACGCGAGCCCAAGGACGATCTGTGGACGGATTGCACTTGAACATATTCTTTCGTCCGTAAACTGTAAGAATCTTAGCAAACTCGGAACGCAAACAATTATGTTAGGCCTACTAACCGGTAGTCCACCTACTTCGTGGATTTAGCATTAATTTTTACAGCAATCAACACCTCCAGCTACCTCGTTAATATTCATTCTTCACTTCCGAGGTTTACCATTTACGCTCAAAGAAACCAACAATTTTAGCTACCGCTATAACGTCCGTCTCGTGCTTCACAAATTTTGCAGTCCCTTGAATTTAATTCTCGCGAATAGCTTCCACTGTTACCAAAATCCTCACTCTATTTTCAAATATTATATTCCTCTCCAATGTAATTCACACAAAGAAATAGCTTCAGGTATTGCAATAACGCTTCTCACTTTCGTCCGAAGAATCTGGCATTTCTTTTTCAATTCGATTTGAAGAGTGGAAAACCTTAAGCCACTTTCCTCGTCTTTCCTTTTAAAGACGTAACGCACTAATTGCTAGGAACTAGAAGAAAATACGCCCCTGGGGAAATCGATATCTCGACCATATCCCGAGGAGACCCCATGAATTCATCGGTGCCGACACGCGCCGCCCGAATGGAAGATGCTATCTGGGCTTCGTTTCGATCGAACCCGCACACCAACTGTATTCTTATCGCGTCGATTTCGCCCCTCGATGGAGCCCCCGCTTCCTCGTTCCTTGTTCTCTTAGTATCAGATCGCAGATCGTTCGCCGCGAAGCGAACTCGCGTGCTTCGGGACATATCGTCGCTCGAACCGGCGCGGTACGGTGTTCCGCTTGGTACGCGGTCCAATTAAAACCAGATTTCTTCTTCGCTTACGGTATCCACCGTCCGCGGGCACCGCGATATCGAAGAAGAATGATAATTAACTACTTTCACGGTTAGAAAAAAGGGATTTTTCCTCCGGCCGTATTTAAGGAGCGAAACTCCGGGCGCTGAGTTTCTAACGCGCGATGCTGATCCACTGGAATCATTTAACGCGTTTCGCACGGGCAACGTTGAGAACGTGTCAAGAAAAACTAGATGCACTGAATTTCGTGTAGCGCACCGAATAATAAATCGTCGGTACTCAATGACTCGCAATTACTGTTTGTACACAGAGTATCCGAGAAGACGGGCTAAATTTACATGGCACATTAAAGGGAGTCAGCCTCGCGTCTCGCGTTTTATTCTCTTTTATTTTTCTAATTAAAATGAAGCTTCGATACGATGATACTGTGATATTTGAGTTGATCGAGATTGGATAATGGAATTCGAGAATGACAGAGATTTCAGGGAGGCTCTTTTCCGAAGATGTTGTGTATTTCAAATTTCATATTTTGCCCGATTTAAATTTATAATCAAACAGCTGGTTAATGCTGATTAGAAGGCCGCGCCTTTGGAAGTGTGCGTCGTGGAATCAGGGAAAGTGGTCGGCACATTGTCAGACACGTGCAGCCACGGTTTAACTATCAACAGTCTCGGGAATCGGTTGTGATTCCGTTTTTTTTTCTCCTTCGCCAGACGGTCTGAACAGTCGCGAAGTGGAGCAAAGCCAGTCGCGAAAAGTGTTCGCGAGCACGTTTCTTTTTGAAAAAAATCACTCTGGCTAACGGGGTAACGTATTTTAAGCCAGCTATCCGCTGAAAATACCCAACGGGAGAGATCACCGACACATGAAACGCACATGTTCGTGCCCATGGCTAATAACTATACCGCGAGGATGACAAGGTCTTCTCTGCCCACGTGAACCGCGGCGGACGAGTTCTCAATATTCAACTTGATTCTCACAGTTTTCGTCGAAGGTCACTCCTTATTTCGTTCGAAAGAGAAAGGGAAAATGTATATCGAAGCGGGTTCCTTGGGGTCGTTCGGCGAATAGAACAGTTTGGACAGAAATAGCGATCAATGTTAGAGGGGTCATTCTACTACCTCTCGCAAAAACCATTTGATCCGATAAACCTGGTCGGTTCATCATAATAATTGACTGTTCATTTGAATGTAGAAACTATTTTCATTAATGGCGAAAACAAACACATCGATAACGTTCGTCGTGCATAAATGAAATATTAATATCCCATTTTAATACCAATTTCGGCAGTTTATCTGTATGCTCATCTACATACACCTGCTTTTTCTACAGATAACTGATCATTGTCTCGCAAAATATTCATCCAAAATATTACAAGTCGTTTACACAGTTTCTCTCTTTTATCAGAAGATTCGTACAGCAATCTACTTGCGAAGAAAAAGAAACGAATTTTCCGGGACAAATGTACACCCCATTGATTAGCCAATTGGAAACTATGAAGATATTCGGTTAACGCCCCACGATTCCTGGAAATCTGATTTAACGAACACCTCGGTACATTTTAGAGGGGCGAGGCAGATTGGGGATCGATTTCACGAAAGCCTCGGTGTTAACGGCGGTTTAGATTCATGTGGGGGTCGAAGCAATTTCACGGGGTGGAGACCTCGACCTGTGAAGGGTTTGTTGCACCACGCGTTGCATTACCAGGCGGCGAGGGGGCGAGGACCCGACGTGGCGTCGGCGCCGCCGATGGATTGTCCTTTTTTTACCCGCTCCCTATGCTCCTTCTTTCCCCCTCGTGGTCTTTCTCCCCTATCTACTTTTATCTTTGCCCGGCTGCGGAACGCCTAGGGGCGCTTGTCAAAAGTCCTTTATGCAGTCTGGACTCCTTTCTCAGGAGTCCTTTCAATTCCGCCTCCCCTGCCTCAACCGGGCGATATTTACGCCGCATTTTGTCTATCCTTTTTGCCTGGCACACTTCACCTTCCGTTAAATATATCCGATCGGAACACGCGTTCCGGGACACTTTGATCCGATCTTCGTTATTGTTGGCTGCCATTGTGTACGAGGATGATCGTAGCTTCGTTAGGAATTCTTGACCGCCCGAAATTTTGTTTTCTTGAACTTTTGCCGACCTCTGCGCGTCAACCAGTATATCTTTTGCTATGTTTGTTTGGTTTTTCAGAATGGTTTTTCAGAAAATGATTCTTGTTGTTAATATTTGAAAGATATGTCTGCTAGCTTCCTCCTTCTATTTAAAGATGTTTGTATGGTGACCATGTAGGAAACTGTAACAAGAAATGTTAATCACCCCTCAGTCCCTAAACAAATCTCACAGTCACTGGAGGAAAAACCGCGTGCACAATGAAATAGGAAAAATCACAGGAAAAGAGAAACCATAATGCAAACATGGCGGCGTGCTTCAGCCTTTCTTCACGTTCCAATGATCAAAGAGGGTATAATGTATCCCAAGAACCCTGTTCCATGGGGAACGCGTCGGTTTCGTCGTCGATTCACTTGATTATCTCGTTACCAGACAATCGGGGGAGAAATTCCGACACAGCGGATGGTTCCCTCGGCGTCTTTAAATACGCGGAACGTTGCTGTTTACTCGTTGAAAATGAAGTGCGCACGTGTACCCACACGTACGGGCCGTGCTGAACGTTATTGTATGCTAATCGGTCGGACTAGGTCAACGAAGAAGGGAAAGAAGAAAAAAAATGGAGGAGAAATACGCTCCGGGTTTTCCGCGTAAAAGAGGAAACAACACTGAAGTACACAAACGTTCTATTCTTTCGGATGGAAAGATGCATCGCGCGCGGCGTATGTTCGCCGTGCGTTTATCAGTCCGAGCACATCGCCGTACTGCTCTAAATCCAGCATTGGCGGAAGTGCGTGAAGCGTAGCTTCTATTATATACTGATTGGTATACCATAGTATGGAGCGATACACGCACGTTAATCGTCTGCACCGGATGTTGGACCCGACGCACGTCGCAAGCGAATATCAAGGACGATAAGCGGGTGGTTGGTGCCAGTCGTAAGTGGTTTTTGGTTAAGCCATGCGTTTATTATTGTTGCTGTAGAAAAAACGAAGGGAAAAGGTTGTAACCAGTCAACTGTCGAGTTGTAATAATGTCGACCAATGACGAGTATACACGTCGAACGCGGGACAGATACACCGGATATGTATTAAAATAAAAAGACTAAAAACGAAACATATATTAAGATAAAACTAAAACGAAACGAATAGGAATTACATATTCGTTTGAAAAAATAAATAATGAACTGTTAATAAAATTAGTGTTATTTTGTGTTTCAAGATGACCGGTACACTCGTCGAACATAGTTAAATGGTGGACAAGAGTAACACGCACGAAATATCGCGGAGAATATTCTTCATTGAATTTATCTGATAAACATGAATATCTTTCTGATCAGTTTCAGCTGCGAAGAGTAACTGTTGCGAGACCAATCAGGAAAAAAACTGTAAAGCAAGAAGTTAACTCGTTAACCGATTTACGTGAAATAATTCGTTAATTATATTTACTAATATCTTGAATTCAGTTCTTTTTTCTTATTGGTTTTCCGAATGAGTTCATATTCGTAAATAAGTTAAAGTATGCAACCAGCACAGGGATCTACTTCAGCGTACATTATGGGATTTATTTGTTCATATTCTGCACAGTTGAACGTATCATGAACGAGCGAGCACAGTCTAGTAATCACATTATAAGACAGAAAGAAAATAAGTATAGAGTACCTGCGCAGCCTTAAAAGTGTCGTCTGGGGTAATTTTCATTTGTCAATTCAGCGAATGAATCGTAGAATTTTATAGCATTCATAGATTAACCAAATTTACTAATCGCGTTAACATCTTATTAATAAGAAAAATGACAATAAATGTCGATCATTCTTTACTTTCAGAGCGCGCAGAACAGGCTGCTGATCAAGAATGGAAAGGTCGTGAACGACGACGGCATCGTGGACAGCGATGTTTACATCGAGGACGGTATCATCAAGTAAGAGTCCCGTGGAACACTTTACGCGTAACCGAGCGCCACGCTCGTCGCCGGATTACGCAATCCAAATAAAAACATGCTGTGTACGCGCGTTAGAAACTACGGTTTCGATTCCATTTCATTCAGCGCGTATTTTTTCTCCCGTCGACCGACCGCTACTATTACCAGTCGGTGACAGTGAGCTAGTAAACTCCGTCGGACTATATACACGCAATGACTAATATCAATTCGGAGTGAAAATATGCGTCTTCTATTCGCTGAATCTTTATTTTTAGCGTCTACCGGCGATACATATTTCACTAATTTCAGTGTAAAAGTTAAGATTTCGTGTTTATCAAAGTCGGACATATTGTTTGAAACATATGATTTCCACTCTTTTCAGGAATCATGGTATGATAAACCAGATTATGATAGACGCTTATAAAAGTAGAAATTATACAATTTTTTGTTGGGTAAATTTTTGTTGGTTCTAGACACGATCAGTTGATTCTAATGGATAAAGCGTGCGTCCATGAATATATCTATCGATACGCGAACGTTTCGAGCATGATTTCGTAGCCGCATACTTACTTAGACGTGTTGACAGAAGCAACACAGACGTTAAGATGCGCAAAGCCGACCGATTAACGTTTCATTGAGCATTCCGATCGCGTGTTCGCCCGCCACTTCAAGCAAACGAGACGCGATAGACGCTGGCCGTTTTATCAATGAGCGGCTAGCATACCGGCGAGCAGATAACACGCTGATGGCCAGCGTAATCTGTCAAAGAATCGTGACGTGCTAATAGACTAGCGAACGAGGGAACTAATATTGGCCGTTCCTTCGGAACGCTTAATTATACGAGGTGTTAATAATCGATCGGACATTGAAGACGGATGGTCGATACTTTCTATCAGTGATCTAGTCCTTGCTCTGAACTTGCGAGAGACCGTTAATTGGATCGTTAATAATCACGCGAATTTTTCTTTCTTCCTTTCATCGTTCGGGGGCACGATTCTTTTTTTTTAGAGTAACTGTTATTTCGAAGTCCTGTAATACATCGAAATGTGGTCAGACCAGTTATAAATGTATCTCTATAAAAAGTATGGAAACTTTCGAAATCTGGATACCTTCTAAAATATAGAAGTGTCTTGCAGGGAAGAATACAATTAAATTTAATATTCAATCTAACAATCATTATTTCATGTAAGAAACAAACATCTTGTCGCAACTTATAACAATATTGTATGAAATTCACATGGGTCTTTAAGATACGTGATTATGGTCGTGTAATCAATATTGCCCGCTTACTTGAATTGTAGGCTACCTAATAGATCTCCGATGAAAGTCACGGCTTCCGTCCAACTTTGCCTGCATCACCGTCCGCTTCTAACAACACTGTTCTATTCGTAGGCAAATGGGACGGAATCTGATAATACCGGGCGGGACGAGGATCATCGACGCCCGCGGAAAATACGTAATGCCTGGTGGCATAGATCCGCACACCCATTTCGAATTGGAGTTGATGGGAGCCAAGTCGGTCGACGATTTCTACCAGGGCACGAAAGCGGCCGTGGCCGGTGGCACTACTATGATCATCGATTTCGTCATTCCGAAGAAGGACGAGTCTCTTCTGGAGGCTTACGATAGGTATAGAGAGACAGCTGACCAAAAAGTCTGTTGCGATTATGCGCTCCACGTCGCCGTCACGTCCTGGAGTCCAAAAGTAAGCAATGAACACATGTACGAATTCTACACGCGTTGCTATTAATTACTTTGATATAATACTCCACAAACTTCATTGACCCACTTATAAAACTTTTGTGATGTTCTGGGCGATTCTGAGTTCTCAATTCTGGGCGATACATTTTGCTGAAAATTTACAACAGAAGCTGCGATTGGATTCGATAGTTCAAATCAGCTAGGTACCAAGAATTCTCACTTGGAATCCTTGGTTGACTCCTTAGAAAACTGGTTCCGAGAAGATCTCAGCTTTAGGGCATCATCACTGTTGGACCTTCCAGCTTAAGGATCATAGATTTTCCATTTTTATCATTGATCTGGATATTGTAGAGCAGCTGGTGCCAGGAACGTCTCTCTGAGAACATTGCAGGATACAGTTTCAATGTCGTGTACGTCTTGTTATTTGGCTTGTTGTAATTAACTCATGCAGGGTGCAGCGTGAAATGACCTGTTGTAAAGGAAGCCTAAAGTGAGGTCGTCACGCCATGTACAATATGCCCCACACACGGTGGCCATTCTATTTAGTCACCCGGAATGAGATAATTACTGTAACATGAGACTTTCCTGGAAAAGAAAGCATGTCTAGGCGTGACCCCTTTCTTGCCAGTAGTTAGTTCAACGTCGATTGTTATGTGAACCTTCTTCGTACTTTAAAAGACAATGCACATATACTTGGAACAAGGATGCAGCTATTAGTGAAGTAATTACAGGATGTAACTGATAATTGTAGCTTCTGCTTTGAAATATGTTTTCCGAACAATGTTTATGTGGTTTGGAATTATTCGATACGATTTAAAGTTCGAGTTTCTCGAATAATTGAACCTACTGAACATTGTCGTTTTCATGACTGTATGAATACGATCGTTGCACAATGTTACATGTCCCCGTAAATGGAATTTATGTAACTTGTTAACGTCAGTCGGAAATTACTGGGAGGTACCTTTGAATGCTCTTCAAATCGTCTCTTTTGTTCATATCCCATTAGACGATTGAAATCTTCCATGCAAATTGCTTGGAAAATTGCGTACTCGATAGATCACTATCATTAGATTCCATCCCAGAGAACTTGATCTGGCACTTGATCGATGATTCGATCTCCTGGCTACCACCTCTGGCAAGTATTCGATCAAAATTATGAACATGATCTGAATGAATTATTCATGCATATGGTATCAACTGAAGGTAGTACTTTATGTGCTTAAAAAATGGAATAACATTTGAAAGATTGTATAAAGTAAAATGTACATAAAACAAGAGTCTGAACAATAAATGTTCCTGCATTTTTATAAAATATAAAAAAACATACTGTTTATTTGTTTATAAAAATCATATAAAATCATTAAGTAGTATGACAAAGCGTGAAAACGCTTTTAATAGTATAAAACAGATGTTTGAATGTTCCCTTACGTCGCCATTCAATTTCCATATCCTGCGTTTCGTGAAGAAACAAATATATTCATATAATCATTAACATTTCATTCAAGCATGCCGACCGTTATCATTGTATTTGCCCTTAACATTCACGAAATACATTTTCCAAGTTCAATGGGCGATTAAATATTAATGTCTTGACTATGAACCCTTATACAGTTACTGCATTTGCAGACTAACAAAATACAGGACAGCGTTTACATTCCTACTTCTTCACTTCAATTAACATTAGCGATGAACATTCTTAACGGACGATACACGTTTTTTCCTTAATCCGACTTCTTCTAAGCCATATATACACCATCCAGTTCCAGTTTTTAAAAGCTAGAATGATTAATCCATAAAAATTCCAATTTGTGTAAAGATCCTCGATTTATTAGCGACGAGCACCTAGTTTTCTCGATCGAATGCCGTTTGCCAAAGGGTAGTTGTAGATCGTTGTACTGGTGGCGAGCGAGAAATTGTGGCCTAGTATGTCGATCGAGCGACTCCTCTCTAAATATGGGGAAAAGCAATAGGTGTTCCGGTAAATTGGCAAATCGCGGCGATCTACTAGCCGCGGAGTGCCGGTTTGTAGCCATGGTGACTGCAGGGCCGACGACTGGTAACTGTAATCGGGATCGTGAATGGAATAACAAACGATCGATGAGGAAACCGCGAGTGGCCGCGTACGGATGCATGTAAATCTTCATGCTCCTTATTTGTTGGCGCTTGTCGGCCTGTCTGACAATTAGACATGGTCAGAGTCAGATATCTAGACGATATTAACAGTTTTCCGTCCGGCGGTTAATTAGTCCTAGAAAAACTGAACCTACAGACCGGCCAACTTATTTCCCCGTCCCCATTTATTTTCGATGCTCTCTTCGAGAAATACATTGGATCGTAAAACAAGTTCTTTGCGTCCCACCTTAATTTCTTCCTCATTTATTCTAATGTGGAATTGTAAACATTCGAACTGCACGTTGACGTAAAACGAATGGCAAATGACTCCATAAGAAAGAGCAGGATTTTCCACAGTCATAGAGATTCGGTTTACAGCCTGATAGAGTCTTGATTGAAGTAAATGAACATTTTTGCTAAACCGAAAATGCAGGGGACAGAATCTTTCGTTATGTCTTAACTGTTGTTTAAAGAAAATTTGTTGTGTTTATAGGTTTATATTGATTCATTTATTGGTCTAAAGCTTCCAATTGTCTGTTTCAGGTGAAAGAGGAAATGGAGACGTTGGTGAAATCGCACGGTATCTGTAGCTTCAAAATGTTCATGGCGTACAAGGATATGTTCATGCTGAGGGATCCAGAACTGATCGAAGCATTCAAAGCGTGCAAGGAACTCGGAGCCATCGCCATGATTCACGCGGAAAACGGCGATATTGTTGCCGCGGTACGACCTCATTTAAATAGAATGAAATATGTTGATCCTGTGTATCGAATATCTGCATAAAACATTTCTTAATTATGAAAATAAGCTAAGGGAGCAAACAGTCTTGCGTGCACCGGGAACCATAATATTGAGCAAAGTCAATTTATTTTTAGTTTAATGGTTCAAGCTACTCTTTCGAGGGCACGGAATCGATTCAGCGAAGTTGAACGGGAATATTTCAAAATAAAAGCAAGAATATCTTTACTGCCCTTCTGATAAAAGTCTGTTTTCAGATGCTATTTTAAAAACTTGCCGCAATAAATAAGTTTTGTTTCAATTGTAAATAGTAAATATTTAAATAGCAAAGATCTATTTTTGAAAATTTCGCTTAACATTGCAATTAACTTTAGAAATAAATTGTTCTACTCGTCAGTGATTAAAACAACGTGTCTAAACGTTATATCAATGCCATTGAAGAAGAACCATTAGAAATAACAGGTTACGAGCTTTTGGTACGTTGTTCGCGCTAATTACCTGGCACGGATGTATCTAGCCCACCGTCACGAATTTATTCGAGAATAGATCGGAGAACGAATCATCCGAAATTGTTTCAGAACACGAAACGGTTGCTCGATGCTGGAGTTACGGGACCGGAAGGTCACGAAATGTCACGTCCCGAGGAGGTGGAGGCTGAGGCTGTGAACAGAGCATGCGTTATAGCCAGTCAGGTATGTCGACAATAAAAATTATTCAAGACATGCCGGAAGTAAGAGTACCATATTTAGAAGTCGTAGTTACGTTTGTCTAGTGTATTTCTACACTTTTTTGGCACGCTAATTTCGCACGGAATCGATTTGTTATAGTTACTGTGCAGATACAGACAATGATAGATGTGCAACGCTATCTTTCGCGGCTTTAGCTATACTCCGATTAGATGTAAATGTTCTATACGTGCACTTTTTCATTTATTTCTATTTGTTTAGATGTGATCATTTATTTTTGTGCGCATCCGAACCACTGGATACAGAATACCTGAGGATAGCTAGAATCAATTACTCTTAAAATTGTATCATTCGACGTACGTTCGTTTCTAATTTGTCATAAATTAATTTCAAGTGACTACTATAAAAAACAATAATTTGCATAATAAAACGACAGGTGTTACATTCCATTCACCACAAAATGTAGATACAAGGTTTAACTGCCGCGTACAACGGCAGTATAACTGGCAGTCATCTCCGCCGTGACAAAAGGGTCGAACTGTACAGAGGGTCTCGCGATGACTAGAATGCGAATGTATATGCAAATTTCTACTTTCAAAAATTGTTTCTGAATAAAACAGAGTCAAAGAGTAAGTTATTCTTATGGAAACCATGGTTAATGCGGATGCAACGTCGCACTTGTGAGAAAAATGTCTCCCTTGAGAAATAGACCTGTTTAAACAGTAAAACCTTTCTCTAGAATCTACTTTTTAACGAAAAAAGAATATAAAAGTTACTAAATTTTGTACAATGCTTATTTAGATTGCAAAACGTCGAGAAAGTATCACTTTCTTTAAAAGAAATAACGGGTGTTCTGTATATTTATGAACGATAATGCGTCTTCTAAACAGGCCCAGCCTTTCAGCTAGCATCGGTAGCTATTTTTTATCCAGTGGATCGCATATTTTCTTCCGCGAAGTCGTCCCGTCTCAGTTTTAAGTTACACGATCATTTCCGTTGTATCATTCTGCATGCTTAGGTGAATTGTCCACTGTATGTAGTGCATGTGATGAGTCGTAGCGCCGCGGAGGCAGTGGAAGCCGCGCGTAAGCATGGCGTTTGCGTCTTCGGCGAGACATTGGCGGCCGCGATCGGCACAGACGGCACGAACTATGCGCACAAATGCTGGAAGCACGCAGCGGCCCACGTTTTGAGCCCACCGCTCAGGCCAGATCCAGATACGCCATGTGTCCTCATAAACAAGCTGGCCAAGTGAGTCTGACGACACGGTCGTGTATTACATTTTGGGGGTGACTTTGATATCTAGAAAGTTAGCTTAACCGATTCACAATCTAATCGAATGATGAGGAATTATATAGATTCTTCTACTCAGAATTTATCGCTGGAAATATTTATTACATCTTTCGGTTATTAATTGCAGGCTATCATCTGTACCTTGCCACTATTGTCATTGCAAAACACTACGACTAGCAGAAAGTGTTCAATTAATCGTTAGCATGTTTCAATATTGAATAGACTAATAATACTTAAAACCGATTAGTTCGATTGAACACTTCTTAACAGAGATAATGCTAAATGTAGGAATGATGCGATAGATATTTCCAGTAGCGTACAATCGAGATTAATATTTTTTATTTTTTGAAATCCAAGAGATACGCGAGCCCGAATTAGACCAGATTAGCCTGGATCCTTGATACAGTAATTAATTCCAAAAAGTTTCTTTATAACACACCGAAACCATGGAACAAAGTTCAAGTTCCACCGGGCAAAGTGATCAGCGTTATGTTTCGTTCGATCGGGATTTAGCTCTCGGGATCGTTTATCAGAAGCAGAGCAAAGATGCGTCTAGTACTCGTGTTAACAGAGAGATACGGGTCAACTCGATCCACGGTAATCGAGATCCAGGGATTATCTACGGTCGCTTGAACCGTACACGCGAACCGCATCGCGATATAGTTCGCCGTTCCACGATGTTGCATGCGCCGGAAATTATATTTAGAAATATCTGTCGAAATTCTCGTGTGCATGCACGCTGATCGTTGCTGCAGTTAACGTTACTTTTCTTCTGCCCCCGATTTCTTCTGCATCGGTTATGTACCTATCGTTGTTTTACACACCGCTGGCACGATCCTCTTCTTTGTCTCGATGTCTAGCCGTAGCTGAACGTGCATTTGCTTTGGCCACTTTGCGTGAACACGGTTGAAAGACGGGAGAACAATAATTGTGACTAATCCCCGGAAACTAGAGACCGACGGTTTCAGTTTCTCGCCGCGGTGTTTAATTCGGGAATCGAGTCAATACAACAAATAGTTGTAAAATATTACCTTATGTTTGTGTAATCATGTATATTATGAAAAGTAGAATTTTATGAATGATCGGATCAGGTAGTCTGATTAACAACGATGTTTACACTGGTATAGTTGTATATCTGTGTAACGTCGATAAACAGAGAAATTTTTTATTCTACTTTCACTTCATTAGATTTGTGTTGTTTTATTCGCTTAATTATCAAATGAAAATAGTATAGAAATATATTGAAGTGTTTCAACCGTGATTGCAGCTCGATGTAATTTTGTCTCGTAAAGCCAGAAGAAGAAATGTTGAAGCAGAAAATATTAGCTGTTGAAGGTCCCTCCTTCATTGGAAATTAGTCACTTTTAAAACAAAAACATATATTTGACTTTACTGTTCAATAATTATGACACGTGACCCGAAGTATGTGTCTAAAACGAAGATGCCAGTAAAGAATAAAAAATAATGTAATTCGAAATATAAAGGGTTAAAACATGCTGTGCACTGAATTCCATTGGTAACAACAAAATGGTGGCAAACAGCCAACGACCTTGAGCAGTTAACATAATTTGCTTGGATGCCAACGTAATATCTATTCAGAAGGCAGTGAGAGGATTTAAAGTGTCGCGTTTAGGTGAATAGCCCGCTGTACGTAACGGCAGTGACGAGCAAGTCCGCCGCTGACGTAGTGTCGGTGAAAAGGTTGGAGGGTGTCGTCCTCTTCGGGGAGACTCTCGCTAGCGCAGTTGGTATTGACGGTAGCGAACAATACGGGAAAGATATCGAAAAAGCGAGGCGTTATGTTACTTGCCCGCCGTTGAGACCCGATTCCACGACACCTGCTTATCTAATCGAACACCTTGCCCAGTAAGTAATCTAACACCCAAAATTGTTACTACTGTTTCAACTTATGCGTGGGCAACCATGTTCCCAGTTCTGAATTTTCTTTAACTATATTCCTTCATGTTCTTATGAAATGTCACAATCATCATTCTTTGGAAATGTCAAGCTTTCCAATTTTCAAAATTTCAAAATAAAAATGCATGGAAAAAGTTTTAGACATTGCAGTTTTAGTAATTGGGAACATTTTCTCGTAGTTGCTCATGCAATAGTCGATTACTCATCATTTATCAAAACTATAATCGCCTCGAGAAGCAACTAGGCAAAAGTTTTACCATTTGTTTGTAATCTCACATATGTATTACTTTAATCAAGTCTCAGAACAGTACTTCGAGAGCTCTCTTCGTTAGTTTGTAAAATGGGGGAGAACAATTCACGGTTTATCGCAAATATATCGCGTCTCACCTTTTCTCACGATAATGGGAGCTATATAATGGAGTCACTGTCCTCTCTCATTGTTGACAAAGACCGCCTATTGTCAACCAACCCTATGATATAACGAAGATAACGCTGTAATTATAAGTAAATTCACGGCAGAGTGCATACAGAGAGAGAACACTGTACTTTCTTCCATAAAGATCGGAATATCCAAACTTAATTTTTGTTTCAGTAAAAATAACATTGATTTATTTGATGGTCACTATTAGGTACAAATTTTTTATGTGATTTCTTTTTTATTTGTTTAAAAACCTTTGCAAACTAATACACGGTATAGTTATCAAAAAATAATTAATTGTAAATTGCTCTGCTCGATAAATATTTCTTCGAGATGTTAATTCTATATTTAAAGGACTTAAAACGAATAACGTAGTCAAGTGTTGTACGCAATCCATTAACCTATTAGTCGGGCGATTTCTTGATCACGAGTATCTATACTATCACAAGTAAAAGGGTTACGATAACGATCTTAAGCGATTTATCCCACGGTAAATGCAATGGCATAAGTATTGAAACATATTAGAACACATTCCTACGAATAATATTTATGGTATCATTTAATACAAGAATCCGTAGGTAAATGACCGAAAAAACTAGAAATCCGCCGAAAAATATAAACCTCCAGTACAATTGCTATTTTTGGTTAACACGTTGAAACGTCTTCGACTTCGAGTGTTGTGAAAACCTCAGACGTTTATCCTCGTTTACGTGGTCTCGCGCACGTTTGGATCAATGATCGAATCGTGTATTCGCGAAACGGCGGAGGTTTCGGCGAACGATTGTTGGATCTGAGACCGGCGTAATTTACGCGCGGTTGGGTCACGGGTATGCCGTCCGTGTTACTCGAGTATTCAAATGATGGCAATAAATTACGGCAACGAATTGGCACACACGAAGTTAGCGTAACTGAACGTAATTCTAATGGACACCGCGTGGGAAGTCGCTTTTATCTCACCAGCCGGCATTAAACTTAATTAACCGGTCGGAGGAAAAGTCGTTCGAACCCTCTCTCGAGCAATCAACGCACTGTCCTGCGTTTCACTCGACTGCGTGTCACGTTTTCCTTTCGGCGAGCAGTATGAAAAAAAGATAATTGACTTAACTTATCAGATGTCAAGGTAACTCTACGTTTTACATCAGCTTTCTTCGAAATCCTGCGAGTATGCAACGGATGCATTGTGCAATCGTTGAGCGTGGGAAACGTGTTACTCTAGGGTGGTAGTTTTGGTAGAAGACCGAGGATTTGAAAAAGTTTTTCTTTTTTTTTATATTTTTTGTTGTTGTGATAAGTTGTTTCTATCTGGTTTGAAGTGCTACTGTGAACCTCTATTTACTGGGACCTTATCTTGTTAAGATACAGTTTACTTTTAGTAATATCAGCATGAAACATTACACTTGGATAATTAAAGATCACATAACTGGAGCAACGCTTGACAGTTACTCGGATAAAAAGAACTCTGTAAAAACTCAGATAATAGGAGCTCGGCCAATATCGGATAAATGGGACGTTGAATAAAAAGGTTGTCCCAGTAAATGGAGCTATGCCGTTTACTTCATTTCTGCGAAGGATTTCTTTATATTATGTTTTTATGGGGTAATTTAGTAAGACTTTTTGATAACTTATCATAAGGTTTCTTTACCTAAGTACCTAGCCTCGGAACGACATTGTGTTTCAAGTTCTCGAGAAAGATAAATGTCCCAATGAAATATCGAATTTATTTTTTTTTAAAGTATGTAAATGTAAGGTTTCAAAATCCATAGAGATGATAAAGAAAACATCAACTAAACTAGAGTTTGCTAGATTTCATTTTCCCATTTCTTCTTAGTTTTCGTTTGGCCCCTTATTTCAGCGATACTATAGTGTCGTTACAATGTTCATTAGCATTAACGGGTCATTGATAATCGGCGTTCTGTTCCGTCAGAGATGGCCTGCAGGTGACCGGAAGCGATAACTGCACGTTCAACGCGGAACAGAAAGCGCTGGGTAAAGACGATTTCAGCAAGATACCGAACGGCGTGAACGGCGTCGAGGATAGGATGTCTGTCGTTTGGGAGAAAGGTGTTCACGCTGGTATAATGGACCCGACGAGGTTCGTCGCGGTGACGAGCACGAACGCCGCCAAGATCTTCAACTTGTACCCGAGGAAGGGGGTGATAGCTGTCGGCTCAGACGCTGATATAGTCGTATGGGACCCCAACAGGAAGCGTACGATTTCCGCCGAGACCCACGTGCAGGCCGTTGACTTCAACATCTTTGAGGTAAGGGCCCCGGCTGATATATTAACCATTAATAAAGTCTTTGTTGTCACGGAACTCACTTTCCACCGATCCGTCCACCCACACGTGAACAGGAAATTTAATTAGTCGCGGGGATGGTTCACTGGATAGAACAAGGGGAAAATCTGCTGACCAAAGGACAACCGAGGATTTGAACCCTTTAAACCCTAACGACATTGAGGTGTATTTTAACGAGTAATAACACTGAAAATACTGCTTGCGATATTTCATGTTTATATTGTTGCGTAATTATTCAATTATGTATTTCATAATGTTAGGGTAAAAGTAAGCTTATCAGTAATCATTATTAATAATACTTTTAAAAAAATAAGTTCAAAATAAAAAATTTGCACCTTCTACTTTGTTTTCGAGCAACTAACACTACGATGCTACTGTGACATTGTAAACAAATATAATCACGGGACAATATACAATCGATGGTAATCTGTTTCAGGGTATGGAGGTTCACGGTGTACCTGAGTACGTGATAGTTGAAGGACGCGTCTGCGTGGACGAATGCGAGCTGAAGGCTGTCCACGGGTTCGGAAAGTTCGTCGAGACAGCCAGTCACGTTAATTATGTTTATGAAATGATAGAGGACAGGGAGAAGGTACAATATTTTCGCTGCGAAAGTTAGATAAACTTACTAATACTCGTATGTTCGTTCGATCAAGTTTGATTTAGTGATTCAGTATTTAAATTCAAGCAATTTTTCATTTGTCATACATGTTGGGTCATCGTTGACCCACATCGCGCGGCAGGCGTCGAGGCAGAGTTCTCGAGCTTAATGAAATAGAAGAGCAAATAGTCGATTACGCCTACGAGTACGACGAAGCTATGTTTGTTCAGAGACCGCGCGGCGTGGCGAGGACTGAGGCCGATGCGAAGAAGTACGCGGAGGAGGATGCGGCGATCGCGAAGGCCAGAGAAGAGGCTAGAGCGGCGGCCCTCGCAAAAACCCGTCAGACGAACGGCACTCACGAGAGCCCGAAACCGAAAGTGACTATTCCCGATTGCGTACCGACTTTACCTGATTCCGCAGTGGTTACGCCATCATCGAAAGGTCCCCGACTGGAAGGACAGAGAAATTTGCAGGACACTACTTTCTCCATCAGCGGTGGGTAGCTAATGGTCGTTCTAACGACAGAAGATCACGAAATGCTCTGGCTCATTCCAGAAAAAAGTCTCGTTAGTTTAAACTATTGCGTGTAACGCGGTGTAAAGTGTTTTATGTAATATCGTGGGATATTATCAAGTGATGTCTTTTTCTGGTGTTAATGTTCGAAGTAACTGACAAATGTTTCATTTGTTTCTTTTTTACAGAGGACGTCGAGGAAGCGAGAAGAGCCTGTATCCGCGTGAACAATCCGCCTGGTGGCCGCAGTGCGGGAGGTTTTTGGTAATTTATGAAAGACAGAGCCAAGGTCCGCTTTGCAATACAGAGATTTTTATTACGAACAAATAAGAAAAATCTCTTCCCACCCTCACCCCACTCATCATTCACGTGCACATTCGTCATTCTTTTTCCTCGCTCTCCTATTCTCTCTTTTTCTCTTTTGCTCTTTTCCTCTTGTTTTAGAACCGTCAGACCCGCTTTCAGGTTCGCTACTTCGCCAAATACTAAGACTTAAGTTTCATCGTTCTCGTTTTCCCGGTTTCAAATTCACCTTCTGTATATTCCCATCGATCAAGGTCTGTTCCAAAAAAGGAGGATTCGGATGCCACTGGTCAGTAGAGTGTGTTCACGCTCGTGTATTCGTGTCTTTTATCGCCATTTCTCGCTTCGTTATCGCTTCATTGCTGCCTCTGTGTACGTACCCTGTGCGCTTCATTCGTTGACCTTGGACGGTAGTTCCTTCCGCGGAAGTCTATCCCTGCGCGTGCAATGGACGGACGTTTGTTAAGTTTCATCGACCATATCGACTTTCATCGTGCCGACACACGAGACTGAAGCGTCTTGATCGGTTGATTATGACGCGTGTTAGGCTGCTGCGCTTGAAACGCCTCTTTCAAATGACCTTCGGGAGCTTAGAACTTTAAAACTTTGCGTACGTCATGTGAATATTACACGGTCAATGATACTATCGTTGTTAATGAATGCTGACAGTGATGGTGGTCGCGTATGGGCAGAAGCAACGGTTTGACACTGAATATTAATGTTTATTTAAACCTTTTAATCATCGGTATAACTATTCAGACTGAACTCTGAATGAACATGCAGGTACAAAATGCTGAAGGAATGGTGTAAATAATGAAATTATTTATAAAATTGGTTTATCATTATACAAAAATATAAATAATTAATATTATTGATTATGTAGTATAATTGACCGTATAATATCTGCTTATAAATTTATTATAATCTTAGCTTATGTTTTTTTTCTGATAGATGTTCCAACAAGTAGTCTCTTGTTTGTTGTAGTAGTTGGTTAGAAATAATTTAAACATTTATACTACCTGAACAGTACTTGTTATTTGTCTCCATTAATTTATTTATATATTTTTCATTATTTATATGTATCGTAATATTACGAAAACTACAGTAGATTTATCTAGTAACTTTATTTATTTAACTTTACTATATCTTAATGAATAATTAAATCTCATTTATTTTATCGCTCTGATAGTACAATATTCAACCTGAAGGAAAGATACGTTTCATAGTTCCGCAGCAGTCTAATGATGGTAATTTTCTGGTACCATTGACCAGTAAGAGAAATTGCGAAGTATAAACTGTGGGAATGGAAAGTATAATTACAATAATACCTTGGTACTAGTTCCTTCTTAAATCAAATATTCAAACTCATCCATCCTCAAAACATCATTACCATTCTAGAACCATGATCTGCTATCATGGTATTGTTGTCCTATTTCCAAAGAAGGAAACTTTCTTTTAAGAACAAACATCCAATTATTCTTACTGGTTACTCACAAACACCACTGTACAAAACTCTGAGTTTGTGCAATAATTGAGTCTCTCAGTGAACACCTTTACAGTTGCAATACTTAAAACGATGTTTTACTGTATCGTCCTGAATTTTATGCATTTGTATAAGCTTTACAGAATTAAAGAAATCAAAATATCGTACTCGTTTCTTTTCTAAATGTTTTCGACAATATGTTGATATTTTATGAACTTGTTACTCCAAGGTCAAGCTTTCGAGCAAATTATTTATTGCGCGTTTACATGTACCAATTTATTACAGAAACAAAAATCAATGTCTGTAAACCGCAAGATCTTGAAGATTATTCGAGAAAAAAGTGAAAAAATGTAATTCCAGATGAATGGTATAGCGAATCATGAGTTGTACATTAAACGATTGTTAATTATTGTTATTGTCTTTTGTTTTCATACAATGATTTACGCGCTGCGCCGATCGTCACGCGATCGGCTTGATTGCCGACGCAAATGTTACATGACCGGTATAATAATTACACGCGGAAACTCGCCCCGTTCTCATTTAATCAAGGTTTCCCCAGCACGTGAAAACTGTATTTCATGGGCTTAATATATTTTATAAACTATTGATACGTTAGCGTAGAACTTACGCGCCGTAATGTTTATTATAGGCATGTGTTTACCATTGAAAATCTGTTTACTATTGTTCTGTTTTTTCCAATGTTATGACACACACGTACACACGATTATAATAATGTTACGTTTCACCAGTGACCAGTAAATTTGCTGTGTTTCAGTTAATTGTATATGTTGATTGTACCAAGTGTAAATATTAAAAAGTAACTCTGAGTTCGCAACCAATTCGAAGTGCTTGAACGATTTTGATGGAAGTCATCGGAAAGCATCACAAGAATCGAATCCTTTATTCGAAGCGGAACAGCTCAAGTCTCGTTCAATAACGAGAGATAGGAATTATAAGATTAAGAAACTTTTTTGGATCTTTTTCAGCGTGTTTGTAATCCGCGGTATAGGCTGCGAGATTTTATAGTAGCCGTATGGAATTTTCGATTCTTCGATCAGGCGATTAACTTTCAGCGAATTCTACTGGACGAGATAATATGATAACAGGAACACTAGCGCGTGCGATACATTTTAGAATACTAATTAAATTACGCACAAATCTTTATATAGAGCAATACAGGCGAGTAAGGAGTGGAATACACTGAATTACTTCGCTGCGCTGAAAGTGGAAAATTAATGCGACGCATTTGCAAGAACGCGCACAATTATCACTGCATTGCCACTTGACTTAATTGCATTATGATTCTTTCATGGGATGATAAGTTAGAAAGGAACTGTGGAAACGAGGAAGCTGGCGTCTTTCACAGAAACAATAGCTTTCTGCAAATTCATGTAAAAATTCTACAAATTAGAAGAGACGTAAAACAATGACATGAAATATCTTCTTCGTCTACCATTCCACAGAAATCGTTGAACAGGTGCTGGATCCAAAAAAAATTGAATATTAATGTCATTTAAAATATTAATTATATAAATAGAAATAAACTTGCATAAGAAGTCTAAGTTGAACGTATGCAGTTTAAACAATCATTTCTAACTTATCAGACTGTGAGTCTTCATTTAAAAAATTCTATATTCTAACATTTCCATTATTTACGTAATTTGTTTCTTTGTATTGATGTTTTCCTCAAAGGAATTTCATGCTTTTTATTCAAACCTTATTGTATTGAACTATAGGGACGCGTACTGTTAAGTCACCCGTTCGTTAGTTGAAGTAACCAATAACGGTTATTAACATGGTAATAACGCTAAGGATAAACGATATTAATGATAATAATCATCGCATAATAAATATCCGTCACGTACTCATTATCGTGTAAGAGCGAACCGGAAATTCTCCGACTAACGTGCAAGGCTTCTCTGAGCTACTCGTAAACGACCAAAATTTGTTGGTTACCATTGTAACAATTGTAACAGAGATTTTTACCATCGTGTGAACCTCGTGATACACTTTTGAGACGAGATTTTTTTTATCGCATTTAGAGAATGGAGTACGAAGGGGTTTTTTGAATAGACTTTTCTATCGAAATTACGCGAACGTTTCTAAGAGTTTCTACACGTGAGATACATTAATAGGGATTACTGTGAAAGTGAACTGTTAATAATGACTATCATTAATCCAAGATAATATTGTTTCACCAATCCGAACTTTATTGTAATACTATGTAAGTAGATATCTAGGCCGCAATTATTTCATTGAATCGTTTTCACCGTTTCTCGAGGTTTATCCTTGTCTTCTGATAATTATTCGATTGATGCATACAACAAATTTAAATATCGGTTGTCACTTTGATTATTAATTTCTACGTTTTGGAATTTTTCATTGCTACAGTGGTACGCGTTTCTACTTATATAATAACATTCTCAAAGTAATTATGAACTTTGTAACTTCATTTAAAAAACCATTTCATATGCATCAATCCAATACGTAAGAAATGCATGATTATTAAAGTGCGAATTTTATGCATCTTGCTATACGTAACTGTCTAAAAGAAAAGTGCTTCAAATGTTAATGAAGTTTACAATGAACTCTATTTTTAAAAAGATCAGTAATAGAAAAAGTTAATTTTCATTTGATTCTTAATTCCATAAATTAGTCTGTAATTCTATCGTTTTGTGTGAAACATCCGCAGTTTAATAATTACATAAGACTGTTTGATGTCTAATTGTAAGTAATCGAGGAACGGTTTAATTTCATTTATTAGAACGCCGTTGCCTTCATTTATGCAGTTCTAAGACAGTTAACAATACGTTGATTCCTTAATCGCTATCGTTTTTCTTTGTTAAAGTAATAGTAACAATTGACGTTTCCAACGAGGAGGATACTCACAGATATCCGTTCGTCAATTGAAAATCCATATTTTACGTAAAATTGTTTCTACGGGAATTCAGGATTCAGAACACGCGAGGGCTTGGCAAACAGATTTACCTTTATAAAAATATAATTATCAATGTGTTCACATTGTGTGACCTCAAGTCGAGTATTCGAATGAAATGTATAGTTTATCGATATAATAAGTGATACAGCTAGAGTAACTATTTATGTCTGTTACAATGTATGTGATCGCTTGAAATAAAAACTTGACATCAATATTAAACACCCATGGGTCTATTCGTCTTTTAAACGGTACTATTATTTTATTTTTTTCTCACTTTTATTTTATATATGAGTTTCGTTTTTACGTAATTCGTAATACAATGCAATTTCCTGTCTAGCTTATGTTCTTGTAAATTAATTTGGAAACAATACAAATTTACATAAACATCCACAGTCTAATTATCACTTTATAATAATACATTTCTAGAAGAATAATAGAATCTCATTTAATATTATCAGTATACACACAACATTTAAAGAATTCTTATCAAACGAATCACAAGTTGTACATATGTTGGTGACAAGAATTATTCAGGCAGTGGGAACAAACATTCCAGTACAAATACACACTTGTGTGCGTAATATTGCTGATGTTTCGAAAATATAAAATCACAGAATTTTGTGGAAGAGATCGATAACATTAACATCACTTAACAGTAAATGTAATATTACATTTTACATATTATATATATCATGAAGATACGTATTCGTCGAAGCCTCTTGTTTTAATTTTTTCTAGAGTATTTTTTAATAAAAAAAATCTACTACTCTTCCGCCCTATGGCGAGCTTTTTCTAATATTTCCTTTAATTCTGACGTTCTAGGGCTCTTTTTCTATAAAAAAAAGGAGAAACATTAAGTTCTTGAATTTTTATTGATATGTTTTATTGTTTTAATACATTACCTCAGATTCAGTTTTCACTAGAGTAATCTGACTATAGAGTCTACTGCCTTCCGATGAACCGCAATATTGTTCCATTTGTCGTCTGGTTAAATCAAAGAGGTCTGAACCAGTCGTGTCTTTTAATTGTTTACAGGTCCTGTAAATAAATAATCACAGCTGGATGTCTTCTTAAAATATTTCTATTATTCTCCATACTTTACACTGTGACCATACTTTTCTGAAAATCCTTTGGCGTTCAGCCAGCTGAGCACTTCACTGGGACTGGAATACTGGTCCAAGACAGCTTCTTGGCGAATAACGTCATTCTCAGTTTGCCTCTTCTCACGGAATATGCTTAAAACAAACTTCAGCTCCTCTTGCATCTGTTCTTGGTTGCTCAACCCTTAAGGAGAACAATAAATAAGGCAACTAGTAATCTATTATTAGAAAGAGTACAAATACAAATTTTACCGCCGATTGATTTTCTACTCTTGGAAGTTCCAGTTCTACTAGAGCTGGTCGAAGAAATGGATGTTTGAGATTGTAGGGGTGGTAGAGGAGGAGGTGGTGGTGGGTGTAACTTTACAGGACCAATATCTTCGGTCCAATTAGACGGTGGAGGATGGATTTCAACTATTTCCGTTGTCTCATTCGATTTTGGTTTCTGAGGTTTGCTGACAATTGGCAAATCACTGGTGTCGGTGCCGTTTGTGACCAATACCTTTTCGTCCAAGGCGGGCGACGTTTCAGTAGACTCATCTGTAATAATTAATATTTAAAAAAAGTTATATAAATTCTCTAATAAATACTTATATAACAGATATTATTGAAGGTTTTTTAACTTACCCCAGAAATGTGCAGAATGGACACAGAAGACGCACTCCCAATGGACGATCACACTAACAATGAAAAGCACATTTTAAGCAAACGCAACGACACGATGGTAAAATAATCGACGAAAAGATTACCAATATTAAACGTATACTCACGTACACGGAAGCTTAACATTTAGAAGACTAAACATCTTCTAAACTTTCTTTAGGCTTTCTATGCTGTACAGGTAGGACGAAAACATAGGCAGAGACAATTACAATCATTAACCGAGTATATTTATTAATAATTGATGTACATAAATTACAGTGCAACGAAATACTGGACGGATCGTAACCCAATCCCTTGGACACAAAACAGATACGGGGTTAAGGGTCTCATTCGCTCGAGAAGAGAGTGCAGAGGACTGCATGATCGTGCACACTATAGAAGTATTCTCGAAAAGTTTCCCTGCTTTCTACAGGCTAATTCTAGTCCTCTTAAAAAAGTTTTCCTACTTCAAACTAAATAAAGAAGAACTAGATAAAGTTAATCGACTTAAAGCAGCAAGACACAAACAAAAATATTTTTTTAGAAACCTTAACTTTAAAAACTTGAGAGCCATAAGCACATATCGTTTGTCATAAAAATGATTAAAAAACAATGAGAGCAGCTCTTCTAATCGGTTAAAGTAGGAAAACTCAGTTAAGGGGGAAATATCGAATTTGAGTATCGCAGCCCGGAAGCAACATTAAAAAAGCGATATATTCTTGGCCGTACTGTACTTTTAGTTTGTTCTTAACGGAAATGTGGTGAGAATGCTTTGCACGTTAACACGAGCTCCATCCGAGTCCATTTACCTTGACTTTTACACTCTCGTAGAAAACTATACATATCGTCCTCTTCTGTTAAGTCATAATCATTATATATGTATATTCTAAGATTTGGTTAGTCGATAAATATAAAAAAAGAATGTGGTATCGTTCTCCCTAGGGTCACTAACAAAAGGTACGGTGTTAAGATGAACCCGAACACGCGTGACAACGAAATAATGTCAAACGGTTCTGAGTTTAATGTCAGTTTATAATATTATTAAGCAGACATAAGAGAGAAATATCGACAGATTGTCGTTTCGTTAGAAGAATTCCAATGTATTCCATATGTTCAGATCTTTTAGATCTCACCGTGACCACAATTCGATTTACTATTTTGTTTTTCATTCAGATGCCAAGCCAAGATAAAGTAATTCTTCTTACAGAAGTATTTGGAAAATGGCGGCAGAACGATCAAATATATGATTCTTTCGATTACCATGGTCCCTATTATTCGACGATACTGACAAATTCGATCTAATTATTCGCATATACCTCTTTATATGTTTATACTTATATATACACACACAAGTAAAAAGTACGGTATTGACATAAAAAAAAGGGGGTCGGACATCATAGAATGATCCAGTGGACAGAATGTGCGACGTGTACACAACGCTGGAATGATTCATGCTGTTCGTATCTCGCAGTTGTATAGCCAAAACGGCAAGGATCATTCGAGCGCGATAAAAAGAAGACACAACATGGATACTAATTATAAATAATGTCGAGATTACATCACGACGCTAATGCATTGAATCGTCGACGATTAACGCTCGTTGTGATATACGTTTATTCTGCGGTGATTGTTACAGTTGTCTGTTCTTTCGGAAAACAACTCGAAAATAAGTCTTAATGTGCTGTTAACGGCGCTACCGAAGCTAAATGTGAATTATTTTCCAAAAGGAACATAGCTGACCAGTTTTCAGTTCTCAGTGCAATTACCTAAGACTCCAAGATCTCGTATTTCGATTCAATTAATGGTTCTCTGTTCCTATATGTATAATATAATATAATCGACCACGAATTGATAGTGGTTCCCCTAATTAACAATAAATCCTTCGAAAAATCAGGCGACAAAGAAAGCTACGCGCGCAGCTCGAGTCACTAGCCAGCTTAAAAATATCGGAATTCACCTTTTTTCCCGAGTCTCTCTTTCCTCACCCAATCAGCCGGCGCTGGCGGTGGAATTGCATGTGTTCGATGAGTTGCTTCTGGTCCAGGACTAGTACTGGTCCTCTCAATTTCCGAATCCTGAAAATCAATTTAATGTCTAATCAATGCAAAGCTACAAATGCTTAAGGCGAATTTAGCTTTTCACGAAGCAATTTCGAGTAACGGTATCAACATACAACTGGTTACAACTAAGCTTTGTAGCTATAATCATACTTTATGAAAAGCCGTAATATTAATTCAGTGGCCGCCAAATTAAATATATAAAATTAATATGCGCAGATCGCGATACAGGCTGAACTACCGGCTGACTGGACGCAAGAATTGGAATACAATTGGGTATAAAAGTAATTATTAGTCGCATAATGCAAGGATAACTATTAAACCTCGAGAAACAATGACCGGTGAAAATGCTGTTCCATAATGATCGTAACCAGTGGCATAGATTTCACAAAGAGCAATTACCGGTTCAAACGGGTCTTTGAATCCTACGTTATTACATTTCCCCCGGTAACTCTCACCTCGTAATTATAGCCGTGCCCCTGCCTGGGGTATCGACTGGTGTACAGAGGATTGTTGAAAACGTCGTTGTCGGGCGCATGGGAGGGGTTGTGGGGCGTGACGATGGTGTGGGGCACGTGCGCAACCTGGCCCCTGGAATTCCTCGCTTTCCACCACTTCCGGCTGTCATCGAGGATCTCCAAATACTCGCCCCTGACCACCGTCAATTCTTTGTCGTTGTTCGCCGTTCGCGGATAGGTGACCTGCACAATTTTCGCGTGTCTAGCCATTAGGTCATCTAACCAGGCCTCCTGCGCTCTGTCCATTCCGGCGCCCCTTGGGGTTCTCTCGATCGAGTCGACAGATATATCGCTGTGCGCCCTCGTCTGATCGACTACTCTTTCTTCTCTGGCATACAATTCGGAACCAGGTCCATAATTCCTTTCGAAGTACTCGTTACCTCCGCGCTCTTCTCTGCTTTCGTACTCTAAGTAATCGCTGCTGTAGTGGGACTCGTCCACTTCCCGATGATTATAATAAGGATCGTTCTGTTGCTCGGGCAGCTCGTCCCTTTTCTGTTTGTCCGCGTTCAGCAACGACGCTAGATGATCGTGATCCCTGTCCTCGGGAATCGGGTACTCCGGGGACCAACCATCCATGAAAATAGGGTGATAAGGAGACACATGACCTTTCCATTGGTCCCGCGGTATCGTCCAGGTCTCGCCAAGAGAGTGCCAGAGCTCAGTCTCCTTGCTAGTCACACAGTTAATCAATAGGTTTACTGCTTCTCTGGTCAGCAACGGCGACACCACTTTGCTGGGCAGATTCGGATCGTAATTGGTATCGCGGGAGGCATCTACAATCAATGCCAATGGAGTAAACAGGAAGTGGACCAACTCGGGCGCGTTCGGGTCGTGAATGTGCGCTTTGAGTTTCGCTAGCAGATTGAACGAGAGTTTGAACTTCTGGAATATATCGATGAACTCCATCTCCGGCGGCGGCTTCGCCCTCATCGTCAGCATACCGTCGCCCAGATTCCTCTTCTTCGACTTCCGGTTGCGCCTGCGGCGCTCGAGCTCTTTAGAGGCAGCCGCGGCGTGCTGAAGCCGTGCAATAAATTTCTCTATGTCGTCGAAACAATGGTTCAGGATCGTCACGTCGCGCTCGTATTTCTCCGAGGACGTCGAGGAGACCTCGTCGTTGTTCTCCTCGCGGGAAATGTCATTTTGACCATCCGCTGCGAACAAAACCATATGCTTACTTCAATTGACCATTCGAGTTTTCAAATATTCTATTAAAGAAAAGAAGAAAACAGAAGAAAGAAAAGTTTGGTGTAGACCTTAAATACGACTTTAGGATTAAAACCAGTTGACACTAGACACAAAAAGTGGAAGGAAATTATAAGAAAAACGGAACGAAGAGAAAAGAGTACCATTATTGGCGTTAAAGGCGGACACTTGTTCACGGACGTTCACCCCATTCAAGGGTGGTTCCGGTGGCGGCAATGTGGGAGGCGGTGGTATACGACCCCTAGGTCCCCTCGGTGATCCGCCGGGGACCAATTTACCCATTTGAAGCATCTTCAAGTCCTCGACGAGATCCTGGGCGGATACGCTCTGACACTGGAATATATGCATCTCTGCCCGCTGACCGGAACCGCTGTCATCCGCCACTGTGAAGACGAGAATGTTGTTATACATCTCCATAGGGTCCCTCGACGTGAATGCGGTCGGTTCCTGTATCAACGAGGCTGGGAATCGCTCCATGACGGCCTGCATACGAATTTATCAACGATGCATTAAGTGAAACTCAAACCTCAAAACCGCCGGCTAAAGTAATTTCATGAATGTTCCGGTTTGTTACGTTTTTACGAGTGCCCGATGCAATTAATATATCAACGCGGGCCTATCGTTCCGCGTATTCGTGTTAGCAGCGTCTAGCCAGATTTTCTCTCATTTCACTAAAGTGAACGTACACTTGCCCGACAAGATACAACGAACTCGCATTAACCTCCTTGTGGACCGGCATCTATCGAAGCGGTGACATCTACGCTTTTGTTCACGAGTAAACAACAAACGCGCATGTGAATACATAAATTTAGTTATCAATGTTTTGACAATGAAATTGAATAACATTTTTTTATATAATTTCACTACTTAAAATTTGAATTTTACTGAGCTCCACGTGCTAGAACATGCTTAAATTTACATAAGACTTTCACTAACAGTGAAGTAGACGTAAGAAGAGGATTCTACGTTATTAAAAATCTTACACACAATATAGTCTAATTTCTGAAGAGTATCAAAGATGTAAGTGTTGAGAGATCTTATATTTATGAGTGAAATAGTAAATAAGGCTCGCTTCTTAAGCAGCATGCTATTTTGGGTACCCTAATTTTAAATCTTTCTTTCCCAAATTTCTGCGAAGATCGTCTACAAGTACGAAGCTTTCTAAGATCATCGTTCGAAAGACTTTGAGGGTTCGCTGTATCTTGTCCATTCACCAACAGGAAATGATATTCGCGTCAAGGATAGATCTTTACCCCTGTCTCGTTGTCCATGATCAGGACCCAGTTCCGTTCCAGACGGAGCTGCATCTTTTGGCTCCAGATGCCGTTACTCTTCTCCAGCTGCAGAAGTCGCCGCATACCGTCCGCTGGATAAACAATACCGGTTTCTTTCGTGACCGTGAATGTGGCCAAATGCTCCATCATGTACGTCGGCTCGGAGCTACTGACTCGGCCGCCCGATGTGCTTGACGGTCCGCTCGATCCTCCATCTAATGGATTAGAGGTCTCATTAATATTATACTTGTCTTTGTTACAGACGTCAGCAACATGCTCCTTTTGTATCAATCAACACGATTGCTGACACGTGATTGGCGTAGCAAGAGTGAACAGTTTCCGTACTAATTGACGGCAAAAATATCGATTTCGGAAAATCAGTCGAATCGCATCACTCATAGAAATTACAATATTGTTATTAATTTATATTTCACATGCTGTTCATTGTAAACTAAAATAGAATGAGTAATTATAAACAAATACAATATAACATTCCTGGGAGAAACAAATAACGGATCATTTATACAGATTATGATATAGATTCACTGAAAGTGATAGGTGATATCAGTCTTTAGCTGATAGTCACCATTGTAATATCAACTACGCCGATCGTTTTCCTCATAAGAGCTTCGTGCTTTATGACAATATTGTCACAAATAAGGTCGAATAAGGAAAATACGATGTAATATCGCCATTAAATTTATATCTGACACCATTGAGCCATTTTGATTACCTTTATTGTACGTGGAAGGACTGTGCCCGCTGTTGTAGTACGGCATTCTGGTCAATTGTGCGTGTATCTCTTATCTGAAACAATCAATGTGAAATGAGACTTGAGAAGGCTGGTCGTTCAATCGTTGTTTGCTTTCCATGAAATAACATAAGTGTACCGATAAAACGGTTTAGCGAGTTCGATACTGACCAGATTAAACACGTGAAACACAACGTCGGTGTGCTATAGATATTTGTCCGCTTATTCTTCCCGAAATGAAACGTCACGGTCAACTCCGTACGCCGATTAATCGATGGACAACGATGGCAAGCCGATACTCGCACGTCCCGGTATCGTATCCGGCTACCGGGTCATGGGGACCATACTTGGCGGCACGAAAGCCAGCTTGTAACCAAAGTGAAATTCCAATGAGCCTAATTCGCTCGCTGGACATGTCGAGAATTCCTTTCGCGCGACTTCCACTCATCGAACTTCGAGGAACAACGTTGATATTTCATAGATAATGCGCTGATAAATGTTGCTACTTAACGAACGACCGCTGCAAGACATATCGATTCTGACCCGGCACACAGCATTACCGTAAAATGGCTGCCCACAGAATTTTCGGGCGTGCGTGTCTTTACTTGCGACTTGACGAAACTATAGGATTTCTAGAGACATATTCAGTTAGGAATTTAAAACTACTAACTAATCACGGGAAAAGGAAAATTTTGTTGGATAAAAAAACATTGAACTTGCATCCAGTTTCACAAAAATTTACATTTTATTCGATTTTATTCTGTAACATGGGTTAGAGTACATGAAAATCAGTAGTTTGGCAAACGTTAGTTGTCATGAAAGTTGTGAAAATCGTCTCATGTAATAGCAAGCTTCTCGTTCAAAGGAAGAATTACATGATAGTAGGAAAAAAACGCAACGAGCGCAAACTGGAAAGAAATCCACGACGACAAGGCGAACGATATATGGCATTTGCGGACGAAATGTCCCGCTAAGCCCGCATCGTCGAGCTTTTATTTAACACCTGGCGAAACGGGCCGTGCGCTCGCGCGTACGGCCGCGGCCGGCGCCCGATAGGTTTCTCTTGGAGCATATTCAGAATTTCACATTCCTCGCGGCATAACTATGCAAAAAGAGGAAGGAAAGAAAGGTAAAAAAATGCGACTCGTCTCTATCACGGTTTCTCTCTTCGTCGCCCGGGGCAAGATTGGGACGCGCAAGAGTACGAGGTCCCGTACAGCACGGTTTAACCGACGCCGCTTTAATGAATGAAGGATTCTTCGGTGTACTCGACCGAATGGCCCCAAGCATTTAGAGCATCGTTCCCGGTTAATTCAACGGAGTTAAGTGAATGGTACACACCTGCGAAAGATCGTGGTACTCGTACTCTGGGTAATAGTACGTTGGCCCGGGGGAAAAGTGGAACGCACAGAAATTGTATTTAGAATCGTAATTCGGTGTCAATTGGGTTTGTCTTTATGAACGTCCAACAAAAACATTCGACGTACTGCTCGATTGTAATTTTGAGATTTTCAAACAATTCGTGTTAATTACAGTACAATTTTATAAATGTTTAGCGACGGGAAAGGAACTGTTTCATCATAGACTTGAGGCTTAGAAGATTTTCACCTGGCACAGTGGAATCGGTACAAGAAGCCAGTGTTAATCGAGACATCTGAGTTTGAATCCTAATTCGCGTTAATTTGAGTACACTAGCGTAGTGCCAAGAACACGCAGGACAATTAACATTCAAATTTGAAACGCAAAAAACGGCGCCTATCGGCAGCTAAGCTGTCCGGGGGAATGCTTTCACTGTGCCAGGGATTAGATACCGTGGGAATCCGCGTAACGGAGGAACATTGTTGCACGTTCTATCAGGTGTCGTTTCGTACGACGGATTCGATTGTACAGAAAGCAATGAGCAGCTGACTTCAATTACACGTATTTTGTAACAAAGGAAGGACCTCGATTGGTCGACGTCAATTGTAACGCTTCTTTTTCAGGATGCTAACATGAACTGTTAGATACGTTCCTGCGTAAACACTACTTTGTGAGTAATATGGAACTTCCAGTGATCATATTTTCAAAATTACCAAGTAGTTGCATCTAAAATATTGCATGTATCATTTGTAAGCTTTATGCTATCATTCAGCAAAAATGTATTATGATTAAAGTCAGTCGGTTTATATTTTCGAAGTTATCAAGCGATTACGCCTAATCCCAGCTGTAACCTCTGTTCTACCATCAAGCAAAAATATATTTTAATCAAAGTCGACTGATTGAAATTCTTCCTTTGTAAGTTCGATGAATAATACTTCTACAAGTCAGGAAGAAGTAAACGTTAACGTGAGTATTAATATTTATTAAAAATACGAAACAATTAAATAAGTAATTTACACTGATTTTGTAAAAATTATATAACACGCGTCACAGGTTCTTGCAATACGCCATCATGCGTCGAAAATCCCCTTTATCCCTTTCAGGATCTCGCGAATGCTGATTAAACCTATGCACCGTCTCGAATGCTTGTCATTCTCGCTAATAATCACTCAGACAGACCTCTAAAAAGTTCATTCGCTCTTTCGTAATGTACACATTTGTATTATTTCCACGTAATTTAATTACACCAGCAGTGCAAAGAATACGTTCATCATTGGTCGGTGATCGATCATTTCAACGGATAACGAGAGAATTCATCTTCACGGTTCGAACAACAAGCATCATTCGAGCATTATGTGTTTCCATCTTTTCCCTGATTATCCATTTATATCTTAATTTAATTGCGTGCTAATTTGAGTAATCCTTGAAACCGGTAGCTTCGTTAATCCGCACAGGCAAAAATTGAAAATGAGAAAAACTCAGCGAACGCGAAAGCGTAAAGTATAACTCGCAACACCTGTCTCGACGCATTTAAAAGGAACACGATTGTCCAAAGTTCAGCGCGGCAAAAAGTCTCATAGCCTAACGAGTTTTTAATTTCGCTACGCCTCCGATGAAACTCTTACTAAACAACCTTCCTAATTAATTCTAATTCCTACGCACGTAAGTTATAAAAATCCGTATTTACATAAACATCCGCGAACTGTCGCCAACCACTTTCTTATCGTTACTGCCCGAGGAACGGGTTAATTTATCACAACCTGTCAAAGAAATTCAAAACATTTCATTGAATCTTCCTTCCAGAGGACGTGTTTACTAATAACATACTACAATACTTTTAACACTGTGTCCATTAGAAAGCTCATTAATTCACGTCATAAGTAATTTATGCCATAACTTCACACGATCGTCGGGATTCAGTAAAAATAAAATGCCTCTCTGAACGCTTCCTCGCGTCCGTAATTTCATGAAATTCCGCCCACCAATCTCTTCCCGCGCGAGTCGTTAAGCGGAAGAGAATTTTTCTCTCTCCCGAGACGCGAAACAAGCTTTAACGAGGAAACGTGAAATAGGCGGCGTGATGTGTACGACGTGCGCGCCGCGACGGCTCCGAGAACCGTTTTATTTCAAATGCGTATGATTTTACGGTGACGGCGGATTTGGGTCGCGGAACTATATCGCGCGATCCGTTAATGGTATTGCGCAACGCGGCGAGAGATACGTGGCTCGATAAAAATGGTTGTATCATCGATGGTGGGAATACAGTCGCCAGTTTCCACGGGCTGGAGATATACGCCGCCCAAGTCCCGTCGCTTTGTTACCTTTTTTTCCTCTTTATCCACCGGCTTCAATTGATACGTCCGCGTGTTACATTCTTCCCGTTCGAACTCTCGAAGCGATCGCGCGCAACCGCGTTCCCATTTATCGGAACGATTGTACGGCCACGAGATTAAATAGCACTCGTGACTTCGTCTTAATGTGGCACTTTTAGGAAACCGTGTGAATCACTTGGCGGAAATTTGAATAATCGATATACGCTGATATAAAGCTACTAATAACAAAATGTTGAAAATATATTCATTCTCTGGTGAATAGTTAAAAAATGTTATCTTTTGTTGCTCGTCTTCAGAAGGCTTATAGGTGGACTGGATATTCGTGCAAATTACACGTTCTTACTCATTGAATTTAACCAGAAAATTGAATTCCCGTAGATGCTTATTATATTAGTTAAAATGAAATTAGCACCGCGCTGAACTTTTCTCAAACTTTCACAATGCCTTTCTGGGTTGCGTTTGCTATGAAAGCATAAGCAACAATCATCTGCTTATTGAGAATAGATTTCGAAGCAATGAACGCTTGTCTTCAGACTTCAATGAACAAAACTTCAATGAACACGATATAAATTCAAGTTCAAATGAATATACCCTAACTGTCGTAACGTGCGAATAAATCAAAATTCATTTTCGTCCTTCAAGTTTATCCTCACTCGTTTACGCTGAGAGTAACGCAACATCTTCATTCGACATTAAATCAATTCGACAAACACCAAAATCCGTGGTTAATTAACAACCACGAATATTAAACGCCAGCTCAGACCCAACTCAAACTACGCAAAATCTGAAGTTTAACAAACGTCTGAAGTTAACTGCAACGTGCCGATGCGATGCGCGTGAGCACCGTCCCGGTAGTGAACCGCAAAGGTTCAAAGTTCCCCCGTTATTAGCGCCGTTTCGCGATCGCGCGCGCCGATCTATCGTTTGTGCTCGATAAAAGTATTTAGAGTTTACTTAGGCGTGTTCCTGATCAGTAATAATTGCGCACAACCGTTTCCAGCGTCGAGTCGGTATTGAAGGTGTGCAAGGTGATCCGATATCGACGATTCGATTTGATTACTGCTCCGGAGAACCTGGCGGGTAGTCGATCGCGATGGAGCAATTCATTCTGTGCTCGAGTCGTAACTGCGGATTTAAAATGTCGTAACTGCGACCTAATGGTAGTCAACCGGCGAAAAGGAGAAGGGAAAAAGGAAGGAAGGCGAGGTGTGGACTTCGTTTACATTGCCCCGCGATCGAATCGGCCCAATGCGTCCGGAGGCCGCGAGCCGTGAATTCCTGGGCGACGCTATGAATTCCAGATTTCTATCGGTTTTCATTCAAGCCGAGCCTACTTTTCCTCGACAGATGCTCGCTCCTCTCTA